TTACATGTTCTTTTCTTGGCTTGGTTGAGAAAGTATAGACCCTCCTTTTCAATTCTCATCCCAATCGTCTTTCCCGAACGTAGGTCCTAAATCATACAAAACTAGCTTAGAAAAATGGTTATACAAAAGGAATTAGATACAAGCTTACTAATTGAAATTAAGTTCAATTGAAAATATAGAACACTTAAAACATTGTCAAGAATTAAATCAGAGGATAGGTGAACTTTACCAATATGAGTTACTTGTGTTATTGACCCATTCGATAAATCAATAGTGCGACCATTAACAAGTCTTAAATATGTGAATATGTTTTGATAAGAAATCATATGATCTGTGCACCCACTATCCAAAATCCATATACTTATGTTACCATTAGAAATGAGTGAAAAAGCCTTACTTGAGAGTTCATCATGAGTTGGGCAGTTACTGACATGATTGGTAGAGGTTATTTAGTTTTTAGCATACTGAGTATTTGTTTGCATTCTTCAATTGTGAAGGGAAAACTCATCTCCTTTCTTTCATTCTTATATGATGCCACTTAGTTGCATTTGAAAATTATCATATTAAACTCAGCTTTAGTCATAGCTTTCTTTTTGCCACAATATTCTGCTATATGTCCCTTCCAATGACAGAAAGTGTATCTGAGATGTGTGCGACAATCTCTGGTAGTGTAATTTGTTTTGTTACACTTGGAGCATCTCGGTTCAACTTCAATCTCTTAGTTTGAATTCTTTACAACAAAAATAGCAACCTCAAGCTGAGTATAGCTTTTCCCGATTGTCTCCTTTAATTTTTTCTCATAGCAAATGACTAGTGAGTATGCTTTATTTACTGTGGGTAATGGATGTTGTAGTAAAGTGTTGCTACGAACACCCACTTATAAATAATTAAGATTCTTAAGGAATTTCATGGTTTTTTGTGTTTCTACATATGTAGCTACTTTTTTGATTGATCCATAAATGCATATTGAAAAAGTGTTAAGTGCATTGCGCTCATGAATTTCATTCTCAACATTAAATAATTGAACCATATTCACATGCAAGAATCATTTTAGTAAATCAAATGATATTTGTCTGGTATCTTTACAGTTGATGATGCTTGTTGATGTAACCATATTATTCGATAGTTTCACCCACATTTACTTAATGTTTTGTCCATGTTTTATATGTAAAATGCCTTGATATTCTTTGTTTTATGTTTTGAAGGCACTTTTGGATGAAAAATGCAAAAAGGAGTAAATTGGAGATAATTGGCAGATTTGATGTTCAGTCGATGTTTTGTGCAGAACGTGAGTTCTAGAGATCAAAATGAAGTGATTCTAGTGGCTCTAAAAAGATAACATTCATACCTTTCTGGAAATGTAATGCAAGAGAAATAAGAAGAGGGAAATCATGGAAATCACATCCTTCAAATTCAAATCTCGTATTCTGCCACTATTGACCTTTGTCCATTCAAAATTCCATATCTGGAGCTATAGAAGTCCAATTGATGCCAACTCAATTTTTTTGGATTCCTGACTCAAAGGTCTAGAAACGCTCCAATTTTCATCCAAAAACGATGTAAGATGAGGGCGATATGAGTTTTCAAAGATGACAACTGAATTCTGTCAGCAATCAGGTTTCGTGAAGAAATGAGTCCAAATTATGTTTCGAAGCTTCTAAATTATCATCCAAGTTATAATTTCAAAAATTTAGTCCCTCTAGTAAATCAATCTAGAAGGTCAAGAAAAGTAACCACCAACCTCAATCCACCAACCTCAAATCACCAACCACAAACCAGCTGCAAGTTGGAATGCTGCCATTGTCAAAGAAGGAGGCTACAATGGTGGGTTGTTTGTGGTGACTACTAATGTTAAAGTTTGGCATGTTTGGCAGCCACCATTATTGATAAAGAAGCAAGAGGAGCTGCCATTGAAGCCTATATATAGACACCAAGAGAGCCAAGAAAGGAGAGGAGGGAGTGCAATAGAATCAAAGAAAGATGGTAGCAACTAGAAGTGAAGAAACACAAACTCTCCTCTCTACATACTAGAAATAATGCTTTCTTTTATCTTTAGGAGTAGTTGTTCAATAGATATGCAAGGCTAAGCTCTTTTCTTGGTTGCAAGGACGCAGAAACTTTCAGATTTCAAGAACTGTGAGATTTATTCTTCATTTATTTTCAGTTTGTATTATGAATGAGTATGATTGTTTTCCTATACAAGTTTTCTATGATTGTTGTTGATAATTGCTAGAGCGGACTCTAAGTTATTATTATGAACAATCTATTGCTAAGTTTGATATCAAAACTGGAGTTAGGGTATATAAACTTGTGAAGCAACTAAGCTTGATAATTATGGCGGAACTACGTTATTAAACTTAGGGAAAACATTCGATCAAAGCAACACAAGCAGACAACTTGGTTGTTAAGATTAATGAATTTATCTAGATCTTAAGGCTTCCATTAGATTAAATCATTAGTGCGAACACTGTGATTATTTGTTGGTTAGGGCTAGTTATACGGCGGATCTGTTAATTAACCAAAGTTAAGAAAAGATAAAAATTCAGAATATAAACTGGAGTTTCGTTTTAAGGATTAGTTCTGATTTCTGTAGGTGGATGTGTGCTTGTGACCAAGGTTTGTTTTCTTGATAAATTTCAGTTTTAATTGATCGTGTTCACTAGTTTAATTTCTTCCATATTTTAGATTATCACAAATCAAAACCCCCTAATTGCATAACGTATAACATAAAAATCTGAACTAAATCTTCCTCGTGGGATCAATCCCTTGCTTGCTCTATACTATCTTGTGTGATTTAAGTGTAAGGGTAATTAATTTGTGCGACCGCGACATCGCAACACTTGTGGCAATTTCTTTGGACATGGATCCTAATAGTTGATTTTTCACCAAACTATTGTGCCAATTCCATAATTGATGGTTATCAAATTTCCTCTCATTAGGCTACTTCATTGAGCCATCTATGAACCCAATCTTATTTTAACTATCAAAGTTATAATCATGGATTGACTTCATATACTATAGTTGTCTTTAACTAGGAATTGTGGCACAAGAGTAGTGTTAGGTTGATCTGAATGGTGAAGATAAAATTGATGATTGGGATGTTCCCATCTTGCGCTTGCAGCCGTGTTTTCTTGGGTTTAGTCTGCCATAGAAGTCGGGTGGAGGCTTTGTGCTTTATTTTAAAACCTAGATTATTGCTTTAATACCATGAAGAAAAATAATATTCTTCTTGTTATTTCAATCTACAAAAATATTACAACTTATATTAATGGTTTTGTGATTAGTACTTAAAAGTACATTGTTATTAAGGTTTTATATCATTATTTTACACTTAAAGTATCAATAATTCCTTAACTAAAGCATGTTTTATAATAACATATATAATAATATAAGATATCTTTAATTTATGGTAAATGTTCATTTTAAATATAGGCCTATCACATCAATGAAAGGATTGATTAATGAGTTTAAGAACTAAAATTAAAAAGACAAAGAGATGGCCAAACTTAGAAAAAAGATGCTGATATAGTCCAAACCGAAACATTGTTTGGTAATTGGGTCATATATAGATCTCAAATTTAGGTTTACTTTATATGGATGGAAAGGTAAGACATAGGCCTACAACTTTCATGGAGTCCAAGATTTAAAAAGATCATTTTAAAGTCCAAATTGTAATAACAACGAAGAAGTCTAAATTTGTCCTGCAGCTCGAATACTCTTCAGTGTTTGGCTCATATCTAGAGTTTTAGAAGTCTAAATAACCTCCATTTTTTTCCTGGAAAGTTGAAACAATTTCCTACAACTTTCATGTTTTCAAGTGGTTTCAATTCTAACGTTATTTATAACATTTTGGGCAAACAAGAGAAGATAAAGATTATCACCAAGTTAAGAGTTGGTCACCCACTCATCAATTAGTCATCAAATCAGTAATTCCTAATTTTGTCCTATAAAAGGAGGCATTTACCATGCATTTAGGCATCTTGGTCTCTAGATCAAGATCATGCTCTTGCTTTCTCTCTTTGTATTTTTTGTAATGTTTATGTTTTGCTTTTATTAATATCTTGTTTATGCCTTTTAATTCATTTCCTTTACTTAATTAAATTTTATCTTATTTTTGTTCTTATCTTGTTTATTTATATTTCTCTCTTTCATTATATTTAGTTAAGTTTATTATGTCAAGGTGAAAAGGTTACACTAATGGTGTAAGAATAAGTATAGTATAAACTCAACATGGACTTTAATGTTTGATACTAATATGTTTTATATTTGTTATCTTGTTTATTCTTTAATACTTTGCTTGTTAAATGACTAATCTAGATTTATGTTGTATAACACTTGGTACAACAAATACTTGACACTTTCATAGCCCATACCGTATGATATAATTGACACATGAGCTATGAAAGAAACTTGATTTATTGTTAACATAAGTTATAATCATGAATGTCTGACGAGATTTACAAATATTAGTATTAATCGAATAAGATATCTAATGTAATCATGTTAACAATTTATAATTTGATTGGAACCTCCTTTGTGTGTGGTTTCCAATTGAATAATAAGAATTTATATTATACTCGTTTGACATATTATTAATGGATCCTCTAACCTTGATATTTATTGTTATTATTGTTTAATCATTACATTAATCTTCTATTTTAAAGTTCTCATCAACTTCTTCTTCTTCTTCATTACTACTACTACTACTACTATTACTATTATTTCTACTACTACTATCATTGTTATTATTATTGTTGTTATTCTTGGTGTTGTATTATTATTATCTATAATTTATATAATTAACTTTCCTGTGATTCGACGCGGTCTTGCCGGGTTATTTATTACTTCAATACTCTTATATTAAAGAAAAAATATTAATTTTTTAATCATATCATTCGACAATTCTACATCAAGATTATTGTTTTGTGCTAATTTGATTTACTGTCTATTTAGTGCTGATTAAGTTTATTGTCTAATCCATGCTTGGTCTCCTTAACAGCCTTAGTTAATGGTTTTTCATCACCCACGAACCATTATAGTAGTCTTTATGATCAATCATCACATTTTCCATATTTCGCTATATATAGCTCTTTAGAGAGTTGAGCAAGCGCACTAAAGAACCCTAACGTTCTAATTTCAAGATGAATACCGCAGTGTCTGTACCTGAAAACCCTTCTTCTTGTTCTATGAGTCCTCTAAACCTTGAGGAGTTCAGGAGGCAAGGTTACATGGCCATTGATTTTATTGCAGATTATTATCAGAAAATTGAGAAACGCCCAGTTTTAAGCCAAGTTGAACCAGGTTATCTCAAAAATCTATTTCCAAAATCAGCCCCGTATAGTCCCGAGCCTATTGAAACAATCCTCCATGATGTGCAAAAACATATTGTTCCTGGCATCACACATTGGCAAAGTCCTAGTTACTTTGGATATTTCCCTTCAAGTGTTAGCACTGCAGGGTTCCTTGGCGAGATGCTTTGTACTGGGTTTAATGTTGTAGGATTCGACTGGATGTCATCACCAGCTGCTACTGAACTGGAGAATATTGTAATGGAATGGCTTGGAGAAATGCTTACGCTTCCCAAATGTTTTCTCTTCGCTGGAAATGGTGGGGGGGGTTATACAAGGGACTACTTGCGAAGCCATTTTGTGCACCTTAGTGGCTGCAAGGGACCGAATGCTAAGCCAAATTGGGAAAGACAACATTGGGAAGCTAGTCGTCTATGGCTCAAATCAAACACACAGTGCACTTCAAAAGGCAGCACATGTTGCAGGAATCCATAAAACGAATTGTCGAGCAATAGAAACGACTAAATCATCGTCATTTGCACTATCTCCAGAATCATTAAGATTGGCTATTTGTTTAGATATAGAATCTGGGCTGGTTCCCATGTTTCTATGTGCCACCATTGGGAAAACTGCTACCACAGCAGTGGATCCACTGAGACCATTATGAGATGTTGCTAATAGTTATGGCTTATGGGTACATGTCGATGCAGCGTGCGCGGGTAATGCTTTTATATGCCCAGAATTCCAGCATTTTCTTGATGGCGTAGAGGGGGCACACTCATTCAGTTTGAATGCACATAAATGGTTCTTTACCACTTTGGATTGTTGTTGCCTTTGGTTAAAAGATCCAAAAGCTCTTACGAAGTCCCTCTCAACAAATCCCGAGTATCTTATGAGTAACCATGCAACTAATTCAGAACAAGTGGTGAACTACAAAGACTGGCAAATAGCCCTTAGCCGAAGATTTCGATCCATGAAACTATGGCTTGTCTTGAGAAGCTACGGTGTTCGTAACCTTAGAAGCTTCCTAAGAAGCCATGTCAAAATGGCCCAGCTTTTTGAGGATCTGGTCGCCAATGACAAGAGATTTGAGGTTGTGGTTCCTAGAAACTTCGCAATGGTGTGTTTTAGAGCTTTGCCACTGGCAATAAGTAAAGAGGTGTCTGAAAATGGCATGGCTGTTTATGGTCACAAAATCTCATATGACCAGGAATGCAGTAACCAGCTTAACCAGGAGCTGTTAAAGTCAATTAATGCTTCAGGTCATGTGTATCTGACTCACGCTGTTGTTGCTGGACTCTACATCATACGATTTGCTGTTGGGGCAACGCTTACAGAGGATCGGCATGTTTTCACGGCTTGGAAGGTGGTGCAAGAGCATTTAGATGCCAAAACAGGTATGTAGTAAGATCATTACCGTTGGAAAGTATGTTGACTTTCCACAATTGCAAGGATCAACCTAAAAATTTATTGTGATGAATAACAAGATTTCTAGGAGCAATTCAAGAGATTGATTGGATCATCATGTGATAATTAATATGTTTGGTTTATTTCCCTTTCTGTCTGTATCATATATTATTAAACATGAATCATTTGTAATCTCTTTAATGAGCTAGACCTACTTTAAGAAGTCCAAACAAAAATTGTTGCCAGCTCATTCTGAAACAATCATAATATAATTTGGTTTGTCTTTGTATTAAATTTTTTAGTTTTTCTGTTGTTTGGAGTTTTGAATTTAGTCCGGAAAAATACAAGTTTAATTATTTGGTCCAATTATTTATTGGTAACCAAATTTTAAAATGTTTATTTTTGACATAAAGAAGTACAAAGATATGCAGAAATTAAACCCCTTTTTTTTGCCATAAAAAAAATATTCAGGTCATCTAGAAGAATTATTTAACATAATTATTAAATCTTGTCCAATAAGTTAACAATAAAATCTTTCAATTTAATTCCTTGCTTAGTTTTAATTTAAAACTAAATGATGTGTTAGTTGATTTAATATGATTTAGTCAACTTAGTTGGTTCAAAGATAATATAATTGACTAGTAAAAAAATTAAAGATAAAATTACAAAAAAATAAAATTAATAGAAAAAACTCTTCAACCTAATTTTTTTTTTAGCTTAGATTTAAAATTAAACTTTAAGAGAGTTGTCTCAATATAAACTAATCGGTTTAATCCGTCCAAAAGCAATTCAATACTAATCTAAGAATTAAATTGATAAAAAAATAAATTAAGAGACTAACTTTGATAACCTCATATGGTGTGAATAAGTTCAATTCCTAGTATTTGCTAAGAATTGAACCTACCAATAAGCGAGAGTTCCATTGGTGTTTTTATGGTAAGGGGTCAATGAGCATTAAAAATTCCAGAGTCGGTTCACAAAAAGAAAACCATTGTGTTTCAGCTTTTCTTTTTGATAAAAACTAAAAATATAATTTATAATAATTATTTTAATATTTTTTATTTGTGAGATAATCTAATTGTAAAATATCAATTTTTATTTCATTAAAATTAAAAATTATTATGAAAAATTTGTATTGTTAACTAAAAAATAGGGTGATTTTTATATTATATTTATTGTAAAAATTAAGGCACTACTAAACATGAAAATATAAGAAACAAAAATAATTTTAACATAAAAGAAAAAAAATATTTTTCGTGTGTTTTATTTATTTATAAAACAATGAAAAATTTGTGAAAAAAATGTAGATAACTCCTAAAATATGTTTTTGTTAAATTCAGTATAAATTTAAAAATCTAGTTTTTCATTTTTAGATAGAAAAATGTTATATTTTAATATAAAGTTTCAGTTATCCTTTTTTATCCCTTCAATTTTCTAGAAAGTTGGAGTAATATTCTATTTTTAAATAACACCTTAATTTTGCTTGGATTATTTTCTAGAAAGGTTAATTATTATAAAGGGTGATAAAAAAAATACTGATGTTTTTGTTGCTTGGATGGTATAACTTAACCTCCTTTTAATATTTTTCTAATCTCTCTCTTCTTTTCTTTCTCTCTAAAAACACGTACTAAATTATTATTATTATTATTATTATTATTATAATACACTTTCCATTTATTACTCCGTCAAACACATGCATACATCCAATTTTCATTGGAAGCCAAAACAAAAACAATTAAGTGTGTGTCTACATATATTCCCAAATCACAATCCAAATATAACAAAACAACAATTTAACTAAATAACAAAATAAATAATTTTGAGATAACACATATATTAACAAATAACACATCAATTTAATTTAATTGATCAATTCAATTAGATAATTTATTTTTAATATTTATTATTGACATAACAAATCAACATATCAATTAATTCAACCCAATAATTTATTTCAAGAATTCTTATCGACATTATAAATAACATCAATAAACTAAATTATATAAAAACTATATAAGATAATTTTTATATTGCGATAATTTTCATGTTACTATATGAGAAAATAAAGAAATAATTAATTTGAGAAAATTGTATAAACACTTCACCATAAAATAATTAGATATTTATTCTTATTAGTTATTCATGAGAAATGTTTTTAAAAAAAAAAACTTATATTAGTTTCATATATAATTATTCATAAAATTATTATTATTATTATTATTAAAAACCCTTGATTTTATTTGAAAAGTATGAGATAGCATGTTCTTGCCCTACCGCAAGCTTATATAAAAAACTATACTTGATAATATTATAATTATAAATCAGAGCTAGATATGTAATATAAATTAAAAGTATGATGCAATAATATTTCATGATAGAAAAAAAAAGTTGTGTTGGTAATTAAAAAAACTTAGAGATTGAACAAAATAATTTATAGCAATCCAAGTGTTTTATAAAGAAAGGTATAATGCTTTCCCCACATGATTTAGCTTTTCTGTTAATAAAAAATAAAAAATATAAAGCTAAATTCTCTATCAACTTAATATTTTAAAAAAAATCAACAAAGATCATTTTAAAAAGAAAAAAACCTATGAGTGAAAATTTTTATAGCAATTGATAATGTTTTGTGAGGAAAACTACAGTATTCTTCCCTAATAAAATTAACAGTGATAATTTTAAAAAATCAAATAAAAAACCATTTAGAGAAATATTGTAGCAATCCATAGTATTTTGTAAGAAAAACTATAATGCTTTTCTCATATGATTTAGATTTATTGTAATTATAATTCTTCATCAAATTAATATTAAAAAAAATAACAAAGATAATTTTGAAAAACAATCATAAAAAAATCATATGTGAAAACACTGCAACAATTCATAATATTTTAAAAAATAAAAAAATTACAAAGATAAATTCTCAATCAGCTCAATATTAAAAAAAAATAAACAAAGACAATTATAAAAAAATAACAAAAAAAATAGAAAAAAAAAACCATGCTGGAAACACTATAGCAATTCATAGTGTTATGCGATGAAAGCTACAGTGTTTCCTCACATAATTTAATTTTATTTGTAATTACTTATAATTGTCATTGACATCCAACTCAATATTAAAAAAAATAGAATTGATTGTAAGTCAACAATGAATTCTCCACCCCTTTAACTTATTACTTAATTATGTCATCATATGATTTTTTTTTTTAAAAAAAGGTAACAAGTACTTGGACTTATTAGTACAATTAAGCTTGTGTACCTGGACTTAAAAAAAAAAGCTCAATTTTGCATATGCTATTAGAAATTTAATAAATATAAATAGATAGATATAATATTTTCTTGAGTAGATTATGGTGAATTTTTTCGACTAAATATATCCTTGTAGTATCTATTGGTAAACACCAATAAAGATATTCTGTTATTATATACCAAGAGAATTACAGTGAGAAAAGAATTAATAAAAAAATTAAAAAGTATGATGATGTGTCATTTTTACAGACAGAATTACTGATGAATTTAAATTTTTTTAATTAAATTTATTAGTAAATTCATCTATAATATTTAATTTATAACCAGACGAGCAACCCCGCTCTCTTTCATTTCTTCTTCTTTCTTTATTTTTCTCTGCAACAAACATCACAACCCCCCCTAAATTTTATCTAGAGTGTCAACATCCTTATTCTGATTTAAATCTTATTGAGGATCTCACATTTTAAGCAAGCAAAAGTGTCTATTTTTTATTTGAACTCAATTTAAAATATTAATTTATATTGTATATTTTTATAGTATGTATATTTTTTTCGGTGTTTACTTGTTTTATAGTTTTTTCATAGAAATTTATTGTTTGAATATATGATTTGTATATATTGGGCATGTTTGAAATTTTCTAAAATTGTATTTGTTTGTAAATTGATGAAATTTAATTTGAATTTGTAACTTAGATGTTTTGTGATGAAATAAATAATGATTTATTATCAACGACCTTATTGACAAACCACAAATTATTGACAAGAGTTTTTCCAATGAGTTATTTCTATTTATATGCCTGTTGGTAAATTTTATGTTGACAAACTAAAAGTATAAATACCAACAAAAAATTCTTTTAATGAAACTATAAAATCTAGCAATAATGCTTAAATTTCTTAATTTAAGTAGATGACCTTGAATGTTTTTTTCAAAAACAAATACACAACATGACTTCCATTGAAATAAATTTTGGTCATCTATTATGGCTAAAAAATCAAGATTAGGGTAATTTAGACCATCAAATCTAAGTTTCAACTTATTTTTTACTTAAAAACTTCCAAATAAAATTTTATAAATCTTAACAACTATTTTTCAAATCAAAACACTTTTTAGTTAGAATCAAAATCAAACTAAATTTTAAAAAAATTGCATGTTTTGATCTTCTATTTTCTAGCATGATTATAGGCTTAAATAATAATCAGTGAACTCTTTTATTTCAGATGAATCTATTGATATTAAGATTGATCTTTTTGAGGTTAAAAAGTGATAATAACATGTCATTTATATATCGTTCGCACTATCCAACAACATGTCATTTACATGTAACCATTTCTAGTACCGAATTTGAACTTATTTTATATAATTAAAAATTCGGGATCTGAAACTTTGGGCTCAAATTTCAACTATTTTTTAACTTCACAACTAGGAAAAAAGTCATATGGACCTTTAAAATTCTATTTTGAACAAGAAAATATATTTTAATTAGCTTAAAAATTCTAGATCAAATTAAATTTTAAGAAATTTTTCTAAGATAAATATATATATTTTTAGCATTATTGAAGATGAAACATCAAAATCAAAATGATTGTGGGTTGAAATCTGACCACCCAAAAAATTTCTCTCTTTTAAATTTTTTTGATTATTTTCTCTCATCCCTCAATTTTTAAGGATTAAAAAGTATAAAAATGAAATTTGAGACCAAAACAAATAACCTAAAAAATTGGATGAATTATGATAAACTTAGAATACTAGAGATCAAATGAGACTTTAAGGCCCATGTTGTGGAAAAAGTCCTTCATTTTTTTATGTTAATTTTGGTACTCTATGTCTTAGGGTTTTTTTTATTAAAAAAAGTGATAAAACTCAATTTTGTAAAATCAAATGTTAATTTAATGTGAGAACATTTAATAACATATTAGGTAAGTTAGAGAAAACATATCACATATATTTAAGTGTATAAAAGCATAACTTAAAATGATGAAATTGAAAAAAAATTAAAATTTAGTGATTAAATTGTAAACCTTACAAAAATACAGGGACACAAATGAAAAATT